TGAAAGTTCAGAAGTAAAAGCAGTATATATAGAATAGCTCCAAACTACCACGCGGAGCGTTGGCCGCTCTCCAGGCAGAATACCTTGTCCGGCAGGAGGTCTCGCCTTTTCCTTCCACGGCCAATGTGGTGACCACGACGTGATATGAACACTCAACCAAAAACCTTAGGAAAATACAACTTCAAAAACCTTCGTCATCGTCCTCAAGTAGTATTCATTCGCTCCCGAGCAGATATTGTCTGCAGTCTTCACATTCTGCAAGCCATCTAGATTTACAAAGGTTCATTGCAGCACTGGAGTAATAATACTTCCTGTTTCTTCAAGCTACTCTCTGCGCTACAGTGTTCGGCATGATTCTGAGCCTTACTGCTCGCCTCTGCTTCCCGGCACTCTCTCAGATTACTTGCTTTCTTCTCGACTCACCTCAGATTTATAAGGCAGACTTCTGGCACTTGCTCCGGCTCATCGTTCTCACCGGCATCACTTGCATGTGCGTAGTATGGCATGCGTTACACATCGGCATATCGTTTGCACCGGCGTCGCTTGCCCTTACGCACAAAGCAATCTTTCCCCACCGGCAATCGGACTGTATTATCCATCTCAAGTCTGAGCAGGGGGGTAATGTGGCGGCGCTGTCGTCGCACCACAAGCGAAACACCTCGAAGCCTAAATAACGCTGTCGAATTTCCGAAGACATTGCCCGGTGGGAGATCTCCCCTTTTCCTTACACGGGCACATGGTCTATGGTACTAAAGCCTTTTCGAAAACCGGCATTTTCGGGAAGCTGGAAGTCGTCAAGTCTGCTTGCGAAACAATTAGTAATGACTCCAGAAAAAAGGATGTAGACGCGGCTCAGACGGGAAATCGGTCTGTAGTTCTTCAAGAGAGCGTTGTCGCCTTTCTTGAAGAACTAGACCATCGCACTTCTCCTCCACGTCTCCGGTGTAGTGCTACCATGGAAGATGGAATTAAAGAGTTTCTGAAGGACTGAAAGTACCGGTTATCCACCCGCTTTCAGAAGCTCAACTGTAATTACAATCTCACCTGGGGCCTTGCCGTTTTTAAGGTACTGGAGAGACATTTTAATCTCGCTCTGACTAACATCCGGGATATGGTCGGAATAGTATCGGATAAGAATTGCTCTTGTATCGTTACTCACACTTGCGTGTAGCTCCAACAATTACGTGTACAGCTGCCCATAGAACCTCTCGATCTCACTCAAAATCTCAGGTGTCCCGGAAACGATGCAGCCACATTTGGTCTTCAGGTTCAACAGTTGGCTCTTTCTGGCAGAAAGATCTCTGGCAAAGATTCCCTCTATGCATACATATTGTGTATCTTATTTCTTTAAAATTTTAACTGTATTATAATAACAAATCGATTGAGATATTACGACTTGTCAAAACACGACAGCTTTAAGTTGTTTTACAGACATTTAATTATATAGATATCACGTACCACTAAATATATTCCTCATAGGTACGTTTATTTAACGTAAATATAGAGCTGGGTGGAAATTTAACTTAAACCAATCATTATTGTTGGATTTCAGTATAATTGGGTTCCGATACCTTAAACGGAACAGACCAAAATAGCCCATATCCGGTCACGCTGTCATTTCCCTTCCTCTTCGAACGACGTGAACCGACTATTTCCCTTTTGTAAGTAGGGCTTAAAGCTTATAATTCCATGAGTATGACAAAGTATCCTTAATACAGCGATCCAATTTAATCAAAATAAACTTTTAGTAGTCACCTGTGTTGTTATTGACTGATAAATTATCATAGGAGGATAATAATAGCATTTTACAATTACCATAGTACCTGCTTAGACAGATTCCCAGGCAAAAAATAAGCCCTATGATCTAGTATCAAAAGTAAGCTTTATTTTTTATTTTATCATAATAAAATTAATCAGTTGTATCTTCGAGTCAGCCCAAAAAGTTTAAAGATAACTTAGAAAGTCAGCAAAACGTTTCAAATGAAAATATGAAATAAATAATATGTAATAAATAATTTTATAAGATTAATATTTTTAAAGCTGAGAGAGCCCTCCAATTGTAACAATCGTGATAGGACCCGGTCACCTTCTGTCTATTGAAACGTTTCTTTAAGAAGGCAAAAATATAATTAACTCAATAGGATCGCTTAAAACGGCGCGTGGTTTCACATTTTACTCGATTATTGTAGATCCCGGGAGGAGTTATATATCTATCGTTTTTGTTTGTTCGTCTCTTTGTCCGCGTATTCCCTAAAATAGTCAGACAAATTATATCTAAATCGATTAAACAGAATTTCATACTCGTATGTAACACATGCTATTATCACGTGGTATAGCCATGCTGCTGCTATATTATGGTTACAGCACTAATGGGTTGGAGCGGGATAGCACCATGCTCTCTAAACCTCAGTGATGAAAACGCATCTGAATTTTGATCCTTAATAGAGGATAAACGTAGATGTCTATAGGCCGTACTATCCACTTACTCTCAGGTGGTCTGTGTGTTGGCTTGTCACCATTATTCTATACAAAAACAATGCTGTAATGACGTCATCAAAAATAAACATCGCTATGATAAACTGATAAAACTTGGAACCTAAATATTGTTAGCATATATATATATATATATATATATATATATATATATATATATATATATATATATATATATATATATATATATATATATATATTTATATATATGTGTATAATTTATCGTGGCATATCGTAATTTTACTCAAAATATCATTCACATCGAAAATTGCTGTTTCTTTTTTTAGTATTTGTTCCCTGGTCAGGTATAAAACTAATATCATTCAAAAGCTATAGATGTTTAAAGGAAATCACGCTTAAAGGAGATTACGCTTTGACGTTTCTATTTATTGCCTTAATATTTTTTCATTTCGATAAGGCTAGTTTTGGAGCAGCGCGAAGCATCCGCGTGGAATGTCCGCATGCGGGCCATTCATATACGCGAAATGTGCCTAAATGCAGATCGATGCTCTGAATCGATTTGTTCTTGCCCAGCGTAGGCTGTGAAACGCTGATGGAGTATCCAGGAACATTTATAAAATTTTGGTGTCTTTTAAATACATATATAATTAAGTAAGTCACTTGTTACCCACGGACAATAGTATAATGGATTGCGTATGCTGACACCATAAGGCACATATAAAAACTTCTATATCGTAAGATATCGAATCTATTATAACCTTTGATATAATACATATTTCATTTGAAGCGTCATTTGCTTTCTGTGACAATTTGCAATTGAGTACCGGTGCAAATAACGTTCCCCCTGACCTTTTTCAAATTGCTGATCATAAATTTACCGTTGGGGACGAAGTATCACGTTCAAGTTAGTAATTATTCGCATAAATATTCTTTGTTGGTTTTGTTAGAAACTCGGAAAATTAAAAAAAGCATAGCATTTTGTGAGTACAAAATGCTATATTTTTTCCAATCCAGCAGTGGTAGAGCCACGTGGCGGCTTTTGCTGTCGCACGGATGGGCTGACTCGAACCGGGGTGGTACCACGACCTCACAGAATACAAGCGTGAAGTAGAGGTTTACCTCTGCGTCTCGCTTGGTGAGTGCAGGTGGCCGGAGGCTCTTTTTACTGGAAATGAGGCATTCCATCTTAGTCCTCACGGGTGACAACGCATCTGCATTTTGATTTGTTATAGAGGATATGTGTAGATGTCTATGGGCCGCAGCAACCACTTACCATCAGGTGGTCTGTGTGCTCGTTTGTCACCCTTATCCTATAAAAAAAAAATACGTCAAATTATCGAAGTTAAACTTAAAACCTTTACACTAAACACTAAAACATTAAACACTTTTCTGATAATATGGTTTTAATTGGGTGCACCCTTATTTTCCATGAAGTTACTATCGACAGCTAGCTATTCTAAACTATTAGTAACAAGCAGAAACAGAATCAAAATCAGAAATTATTTATTTTCCTACACAATATATATATATATATATATATATATATATATATATATATATATATATATATATAATACACAATATTTACATTTGCATCCGTGAGGGCCGGTGAGCCGTGCGAGGGTGAGTCAGCTAACTTATGTCCTAGGTGGATCTGTATTTGCTGTGTTTTGCTTATTCATAATAAAGTTTATACAATAAAATAATTATGTATTTCATTTGTTTTTGTGTACTTATTTGCTAGCTTTAATTATCCCAAGAGGGCGTGGGACTCCCATATTGGCGGTGGGCCATCGCTTGCAATTTTTCTTTTTAGGATCATATACAATTTCACCTATTCTATGATTGGTCCTGAGGGGATTGAATTCTCCGTGCGCCAGGTAAGCGTCACCGGGGGATTCTAGGTCTTCTATTTCCAGCTGGGCAAAGTTGTCCGACATCTTCTGATTTATATCTTCGACACGTAGGTGCCAGGCATCTATGTCAGCCATCTACCATAGCGCCTCTTTGGATATTCTTTTCGGTAGTTGGGCAGCAATCTTGAGTATCATTCTGTATTGCCTTTCGATTTTACTCAGGCTCGTCGCGCTGTACCTCGATAGCCGTTGGACCACTGCGTAGTCCGGCAGTGGCAGAATGCAGGCCTGTATTATGTCCAGTTTGATTTCTAGATCTGTTTTTGCGTATTATCCAATTATCGGGCCAAGGGCTCCTCTGACCCGTTTCAGTTTCTTTACTACCTTTTCGGTGTGTTGATTCATTTTCATATCGAAGACCACGCCGAGGAATTTGATCTATTTTTGGTATGGCAGCGTCTGGTGTTTTAATTTTACCGCTGGGCGGTATTTAATTTTCTTTGAGAACATAAAGCTTTCGGTTTTCTCTACGTTGAATTTGAGCCCCCATCTCGTGTTGTACTTGATAATGGTTTCTGTTGCTCATTCCGATCGCATGGTTGCATGGTCTGGGTTTGTGGATCTGTTGAGAATGCAGAGGTCATCCGCGTACTATGAGTATTTTAGCCCCTTAATTCTATCATGTTAGTCCTAGATGTCATGGACATACAGGTTGAAAGCCAGCGGTCCCAGGATCGATCCTTGGAGCATGCCATGGAGTATCGGTTTCTCCTCTGTTTCAGTTGTTCTAAACCTGCCTTTCAGTTGTGTGTCTGCAAGGTAGTTTTCTATAATTTTTGTGATGTTAGTGGGTACGTCTTTGTCTTGTAGCTTTTTGATTAAGGCTTTGTGGTTGATCGAGTCAAAGGCTTTCGAGAGATCTGTTGATATCATGGAGACGCTGTTGCCGTTAGCCAGGGCGTCTGTGATTGTTTTACCGGTGCAAACGATCTGGGTCGCTGTGCCTCTGGCTCTCGTGAAGCCTTGTCGGAACGGTGGTTGCAGCCAGTCCATCGGTGCGGCCCATTATGTTGAACAGTGTAATTGGGTGGTACGATGGTAACTGGCGATGATCTTTGCCGGCTTTGTGTAGGAAGATTTTCCATCTTTTAGAGAAGTAGCCCGTGGTCAATATAAAGTTAAAAAAGGCACAAATGCCTTGGTGAAGACCTCTACCCCAAGTTTAAGGGCGTCTCCCTTGATTCCATCTGGCCCGGGGCCTTTTTGTTTTTTAAACCTACTCAGTGCTATTTTGACTTCGTGTTTTTATGTTGGGTCGAGTGGCTGGAACGGGGTCGTTGTCTCTGTGCCCTCGTTTTCCGTACAATCACTGCCTCTTTTACGATTGCTGCCTCGGTAAGTGAGTCGATCGTCTCTTTTTACGTTTTGCGGCCCGTTATGTTTGGTAGTTTCATGATTGGTTTCTTAATGTTGTGGTTGTCGCGCTACATTTGCGACCCATTGTCATTCGTGTCCTGGATCTTATCCAGCCAGCCCTTCTCGGTATATTCTCTCAGTGCTTCGTCTGCTTCTTTTTTGGCTTTGTTGTAGAGGGCACGTGCCTCTCGTTGTAGGTTAGGGCTGCAGTATCTCGCCTGCAATTTAATTTGTTTCAGTTTGTTTCTGAAGTCTATCTTTTCATTTATTTCCGGTGGTAGATGTTCTCGTCTCGTTGTTATTCTGAGAGGAGCTTGTTCATCGAGGGCTGCGGTGAAGGATTTTTCCATGGTTTCGACGTATTTTTCGCAGTCTTCCTCTGTGATTATTTCCCCGTGCAGGTAGCGGAAGCTTACCCACATGCTTTGTTGATATGCTTCCGTCGCCCCCTCGTCCTCGCATATCCTCCTAGTGTTGCGAGATTTGTTTTCCTTTATATTGTGTTCAATTTTTACAGTGAGTAGCCATGGTAGATAGTTTGATCCGCCGCTTTCTAATTGCTTGGTTTGTGCCTCGATCTGTTGGTGTATTTTTACGGCTATATCCAGGATTTTGTTGCCTTGGTTGGCCGGCCAAACGGCGCGCCGGCATTTTTAGCGAGCAGATTCCAACAATTTCTTTCCTGATTACAATACCTAGGCCTGCGTCTCTGCTTTGGTTCAGAATGCGCATCTGTAGATCAGATCAGATCTCCTATTATGATCATTGGTTCGTCTGCCAGGGTTTTTTTAAGCGCTTTTCTAGCTTGGTATTTGAAAGTAGGTCCCTTTTATTTTTATGTATTGTCCAGTTGTAGTCTGTGAATAATTTGATACCCACGCCTTTAATTTTTCTTCTCTCCTCTCCCCAGCCCGGTGTGACCACTGTTTCGGTCCATCTTAGTCCCTTTTGTATGTACATGACCGTGGTTAAGTGGGTTTTCAGCGAGCGTATGAATTTATCGAATCCCTTCATGTTAAACTTCTCCTTGTCGAAGTCGATTTTGCATTCGTTTATCACTATTTTGGCTGGCCTGTATTTATTTATTTATTTTTATTTATTTAAAACTTCATATACACATGTGTTATATAGGCGGACTTAATGCCTAAAGCATTCTCTACCAGTCTACCTTGGGATGATGCAGAGATATAATGAAGTAGGAGTAATAAAAAGGTAATATGTTAATACTAAACTGAAATAACAAAAAAAAATTGTAGCACATCGAAATAAAATACATAAGATATAAATGGTAATAAAAAATATAATATATATAATATATAAAATATATATATATATAAAATATATATATATATATATATATATATATATATATATATTTATATATATATATATATATATATATATATATATATATATATATATATATATACTTATAACATAAATTATGATAAAAATAATAAGATAATAAAAATGTATATTACTTAAGTACATATTAAAACGTCAGATGTATGTAAACTCATGAAGATATACAATTATAGACATAATCAAATAAAATATATATATTTATATATAAAATATATATAAACTATTACTATGATGAATCTGCCAATTTATTAGTTAAGTATTCCCGAACCTTCATCTTGAACGCGTAACGATTGCTAGCCGTCCTGATTTCGAGAGGTAGTGCGTTCCAAAGGAGAATAGATTGAATGTGGAAAGAAGAATGAACAAGTCCAGAGCTATGGGAGGGACATAGGAGAAGAAGGTTGTTCGTAGAGCGGAGGTTTCTCTCATGACTAGCGCTAAGCAACTGAAAGTATGGAGATAAGTAGGAACAGGAAGTTGGAGACATCAGGATAGAATAAAGGGTAGTGAGTGCACGCAAACTACGGCGTTGACGAATAGGTAACCATTTTAATTGAGATCGATACGTGGATACATGGTCATACTTTCGAAGATTGAAAATGAATCGAATGCAGTTATTCAGAAGACGGTCATATTTATTGAGAAGATCTGCATTCAGGTCGAAATAACACACATCACCATAGTCGATTAGGGGAAAAATTAAGCTTTGCACAAGCATTGCTTTGATTGCAGATGGCAGAAAATTTTTTAGGCGATAGAGAGAACGTAGGGTGCCGGTAACTTTCTGGCTAACGGTCGTTGCTTGGTCTTTCCAACTCAAAGTAGAATCAATTAATAAACCTAGATCCTTCACAGTAGAACACAGTTGGATCTCAGTACTATTAAAAAAGATAGGAGGTAAAGCTACCGTTTTCAATCTATGAATCATCCGACGGCTACCAATTATTATGGCCTGACACTTCGAAGGGTTGACCATTAGGCCAAACCTGTCAGACCAGTTCTTAATATACTCAAGGTCCCTGTTAATTATGTCCACCGCTGTAGAAATATTGTCAATACTCGCTTGTGTGTACAGTTGCAAGTCATCGGCATACAGATGATACGCAGACTGAAGGTCTTGGGTAATGAGATTAATAAATATAGAAAACAACAAAGGAGATAATATGCCGCCTTGAGGAACACCAGCATGTAAGTCAAGCCAGCTAGATGATAGCTCATCGATGCGAACCGACTGCTGGCGACCTCGAAGATATGATGAAAACCAATCCAGTTTTCGGGTGAGACCATTGAAAGGGAAAGGATGGAAATTAGAAGGTCATGACTGATGGTATTAAAGGCGTTCGAGAAGTCAACTAAAACCAACACAGTGACTTTAGTATCCTCTATGCCTGCCCTAATATCACCAGTTACTTTCAGGAGTGCGGAAACGGTGCTATGACCGGGCCTAAAGCCAGACTGCAAGGGACTTAGTAAGTTATGACAGGAGATAAACTGCGAAAGTTGCTTGTGGACACAGGCCTCAAGGACCTTGGATAAGAAGGGAAGGATGGATATAGGTCGGAAATGATTGGGTAGAGTGGGATTTGTGATCTTTTGTAGTGGAATAACGTAAGCCTTACGCCACAAAGAAGGAAAGTCACCAGAATCCAAGGAGAAGTTAATGATGTGCGAGATAACAGGGAGGATATGGTCAAGTATAAAGATAATCATCCGTCGGCTGATGTTGTCGCAACCTACAGCATTAGATTTAATGGATAGGATTGTCTTCTTGATCTCATCCATAGCTACTGGAGAAAATTGAAAGAGATCAATATCGGGACGAGGTAAATCCATTAAGTGTTCAATAGTAAGACGCTTGGTCTGGTGATCAAGAGGACTGTTGGAGACAAAATGAAAATTAATATCATCCAGACCAATCGTCTTCTGAAACTCACAACGTTGTCGTTTACCGATACCTAAGGTTCCAAGGAACTTCCAGATATTAGCAGGGGAAGAAGATGAGATGTTACTAAGAATAAATCGGTGTTTGGCGTTGCGTATCATCTGGTTGCACCGGTTCCTTGCAACTTTATAAAGAGTCCAGTTCTCATCACATCGATCTTTTCTAAATTTGCCAAAAGCCCGATCCCTACGTCTCATCGCAATTCGAACCCCAATCGTCATCCATGGCGCAGGTGGACGCTTGAGCTTCACTTTTTTAATCGGAGCATGTACATCATATAGCCTAAGGATAGCTTCATTCAAAGCCTCTATCTTTTCGTCCACAGTGGATGCAGAAACCACGCTGTTCCAGTTTATTTTGGATGCATCCATACAAAGTTTTTCAACGTCTAAGCGACCAAAAAAACGCATGTGAAGAGTTTTAGCTGGAGGTTTAGGAGGTTTTAGGACGTAAGAAATGAATATGAGGTCATGATAGGAGAAAGCAGGTGCAAAGTGCTGACCGTGGGAGAAGACAAGAGAAGGAGCAGAGGTAAGGATTAAGTCAAGCCAGGTATCCTCTACATCAATATTGTGGTGAGTGGCTTGTAAAGGTAAAATGTGGAGGCCAACCGACTCGACAATGTGAAGGAGCTTAGAGGAACGGGATGAGTGCGGAGTCAGGAGGTCTGTATTAAAATCGCCCATGATAATGTGATGTGAGTATTCGGACCCCAAGGATTCCAGAATCGTTTCAAGACTGGAGAAGTAATCGACAGAAGGAGGACAGTAAACAACACCAAGAATCAATTTAGCTCCTTTTACGCAAACTTCAAGGAATAGAAATTCTGCAGATGCAGTATAATAAGGGGAAGAAGAAGCTACAATTTTATAAGAGAAGTCGCTGTATTTCTCTGCCAGCCTTTTTACTTCAATAAATTTTACTTTTAAAAAGTTGAAAGTATTAACTCTTACTTCATTATATATTTTAGAGGTCACCATGTTCGTAAAAAGGAACATTCATCTTTATGAACATAGTGTTGGTCTGCGACACACAGATAAACTCTGCTCTGTAGCAAGTAGAACAGCGTTATTTAACAAGAGCGTGTTTTGCATGGCGCCAAAAATATATAACAAAATACCCAAAAAAATTAAAGATATAAAAAATGTTAAATCTTTTAAAAAAACGCTTATCAGTGTCCTAATAAACAAAGCCTATTATACATTAAATGATTTCTTTAGTGATGATTTTTTGATACCAAATTCAACCATTGGATAAATAACTTGCTTTACATACTCGTAATTATGTTAACATAAATATAAAAGTAATTACATCATATTTCATACTATTT